CTAACTAACTAACTAACTAACTAACTAACTAACTAACTAACTATTCTAACTAATACTTTGGTCCACATTTGCTACTTTTAGACTCAATTATCGACTTACCATCGTCACCACAGTTAATCCTAAGTAAATAGAGCATACATGACCAAATAACCACCATCATATTACAGGGGCAATTAGGGAAAATTTTTTAAATAGTCGTTAGTTGATATTTCATATATCAAGTTCTATTATCGAATATACCTTAATATTGCTTATCATACTATCTGTTGATAGGAGTAAGTGACTATTCGTAAGATCACTAAGAGTGTCACTCCTATCAATCACTGACTATAAAAGAAACGTCATTTTGAGAACCCCAAGAATGGAACCGGAATCTTCAATAAACAGTACATCCAACATCATTGTTGTGGTCGTGTCTTTACGTGTTCTTTTCAATAAAATTAGGAATTAAAATGCTTTAAAAAAATAGGCTAATTTAGCCATGTTTGGAAACCTCTGGTATTGGGTACAGTGTTTATTGAAGATTCCGGTTCCATTCTTGGGGTTCTCAAAATGACGTTTCTTTTATAGTCAGTGATTGATAGGAGTGACACTCTTAGTGATCTTACGAATAGTCACTTACTCCTACCCAACAAATGATTTATGTCTTAATTGCATTGAAAGCAATACCATGCGCGAGATCAAGAAATAGCGAAAATGTTAAAAAATAGGGATCTGAAGACAAGAATTGGGAACAAAATAAGATTATCAGGTTGTTCATCTGAATTGAAAATAGAAACAACAGCTGTTTATAGAGCACAAAGACAATGAATGTCATAAAATAGAGAGTTTGTTCCATTTCCACTCAAAATAGCAGAAATGGAACAAAAATGCTGTGGTGATTTCAGGTCATTTGACTATCTCTGAATCAAGTGCCTAAAAATGATGAGAAATAGATGAGATTGAAGTATGAAGAATACACATAAGCGCAGGATGGTTGAACTGATATCAGTAAAGTGTCGTGATCTGAGAATCCTACAATAGGACATTTAGCAAATTTTACCTGATTAAAATTAACCCCAAGTCATGATAGGCGAGAAGAAAGAGAACGAGCCACCAACCCCGCTGAAGCTAGGAAAGAGCGAAGGTGAAAAGAGAAGACGTAAGACCTACAAGCAGAGGCTGGCGGAGCGCAAGAGATTGGCTCGCGCCGAAATGGAAGCCCAGGGGATCGAGGTCCCAAGTGCAAGGGAGCACGAGACAGAGGCGGTAAAGGAAGTAGGAAGCATGACACAGGAGATCGCAGTAACGGGAGTCGCGACCCAGGAGCAGCAGAAGCAGGAAGCGCAGATCAGGCCGGAATGGCAAAGCGCAGGAACAGAGATAGCCCTACAGATCCAGAGGATGCTGGAGGAGCAACTCAGCAAGGAGCAATTCGAGATGCGAGATTCTCGAATAGTGATTAGTCTGGCAGTGGTAAGGAACCACGCTGGAGACGACCGGAAGGAGACACAGACAAGGAAGAATGGACAAGGCAGAAACAACCAAATAAATGAGTCTCCTTATTCCACCTCTTGGCCCGGTCACGGCAGTAAAGATATTCGTAGTTGAGAAATAACGGTTAATCAAGCTGAAAAGATTTTTGATTAGTTTTTGATATAGTGATTTATTGCGTGGAGCGCAATTTTGGTTATAGGCGCACAAACTTTTGGTCTCCCCTGATATAGATACAAAAACATTAGTGTTTTATCACTCTCCTTTAATCAACAGCTTTTGAACCACCAAGTAAGTACTCTCTGAACTCTCTATTTTCTGCATTCTGTAACCTGAAATAGTTACAAATTCTGGTATGTAGTTCAGGTTGTGCTATTGTCATTACTTCATTTTTGATCTTTTCAAATGCCGTATGTTTATAAACTTTTCTTTTGTCTGGTTCAATCAAATCTAATTCTTCATCTGACATTGCATGAGCAATACAATCATCGCAGCACCATCTATATATGCGCGTTATGTAGTCATTTATGGTTTTTTCACAAAGTTTGAATCCATCTGGAGACTCGGCGGATTTCCCAACCTTTATCATCTTCTTCAAAATATTAAGTCTCCACTCATCAAAATCATCCATGTCTGTAAAATCACTGAAAAATAGTTTGATTTCCTGTTTCCTTTCTGTATAGACCTTGAATTCCTTCCTATCAGACACATCAGTTTGTTCTGTGTCCTTTATCACAAGGCTAAATGCATCAACCCCAAAACACATTCCGTTTATTATCAATTTGTACACATCATCTAGTATTAAATACAAAGTTTTCTGCATGTTTTCTACATTCAGGTTTTCTAGACCACCAAATATCATTGATGTTCCATATCTTGATCCTGGATTCTTTCGATCTCGAATTTGTAATCCTCTTTTTTCCATTGCGGCCCAACTCTCCATTATCAATGCCCAGTGTACTTTTTCATCCTTTTCCAATTTACCCATTTGTGAATTCTGTGTCTCAAGTCCCATTTCCTTTAGTTTCTTTATTACTCGAACTTCTGATCTAACTTCTTGTTCAGACAAAAAAGATATTGCATGATGCTTGCCATACTGATAAACCTTTTTTGTGCCGCCTGCACCAAGAAGCTCACCTATTTTGCTAGAGTCAATCACAGCAACTTCTTTGTCAGAAAACTTTGTTGGAATATAACCTCTGGATGGTTGTGTTGGTTTCGTTCTATCTGTTGATTTCGTTTTGTCTGTTGATTTTGTTTTGTCTGTTGATTTTGTTTTGTCTGTTGGTTTCGTCATATCTGTTGGCTTTTTACTAGGTACGGCTAATGATTTTTCTTTCACTTCTGATCTCTTACTCATTCTTAACTCCTTTGGCCCAACTTTTTTCAATATCACAAAAACTGTCAGTGTAATAAACATGGCTATACTTACTGCTATTATAATGTTTTTCCTCTTTCTCTTATTATCCTGGTCTTTTCTTCCTTTTTGTATGTTTTCTTTTCGAATCTTCTTCATTGTAGGGTTTTTGATTAAAATATAATAGGAGTTTTATCAACATTTATATTAAAAGCCGATTGTTTGAACAGAGACTTTGCTTGAAACAGATCATCTTTGTGTTCACATCCATGACATCTAGGAGGTTTTATTTGAATTCTCCTTTTATATTCGGGAAATTCATTCTGGTTGGATCTTGAAATTTATTATCAGAATTGTACTTGTATATCCCGTGTACCTGTGGTTAATTATACATATTCTATATTGTTACACCACAACAATAAACGGTTTTGTTGCCAATACTACAAATTAAATTTAGAGCTTTTTCAGTCCACTTATAAAATTAACATATTAGACTATAATGCTATTGCGTCATGCAGGTCTACTCTATTTCATAAGAAAAAGATGTTTGTGTTGTGTTTAACGTATACCTTATAGTTGTTTATATTAGGCCTGTGCAATTAGGTAAAGTTTGGACTGTCCTAAATTGCCTTAAACACCAAAATTGAAATTTTTAACTTATTTTACTAAATACCATCTTGGTGTGTTAGAATATACCATAAAACTTCGTGTTAATAGGTAAAATGAATAAAATAAAAGTATTAGTAAATTAGCCACACCTGATTTTTGTGTGAACGATTTTGGAAAGAAACAAGCCAAGTATGAACCATAAAAACAGTTATCAACTATTACTTCACTCCAATTTTGTAGATGTTGCAATATGCATCCTTGGATCTTTCTCTATAAATGTGACATAATAAGGTTCCTCCTTTGCACAGAAACACGTTAATTGCAATAAATAGCTCATCATTCATCTCATAGTCATCTAGTGAATAAATGGATGCGTTCATGCATGTTTTTAAGACAATTACAACTTCCTTTGTGTTTTTACAGAAAATTGCCTTTTCTTTGTTTAACTTTCTTCCCGTTGCTTGAATTACAACACTCTCTTCAGTAATGCTATTAATGAACATCTCTCTATTGTTTACAACATACTTTATATTTCTTGTGAATTCCATTATCTTTTTCATTCTAACGTCTGGGTTGTTTCTTCGTGTTTTTCAACTTATATGGTCATTTTTAGAAGAATCCAATCACATTCTAAAAAACCTTCTACCTGATTATGATCATCTTTCAATTTCTTAACCTACGCATTTTAGTTCTTATCTAATCATGTTTATTTACCTGTTTCATCTTCTATTTTTATTTCTCTTGGTTTATCTGTCTATGAAAGAGATTGGAATAGCTAATCTACCAAATCTAAAGCACAAAATACATACTGAAAAGGGAATCAGATTCAACATGGCCGTCGCAGGTTCACATGGATTGGGAAAGACAACATTCATCAACAACTTTCTTGGACAGATCGTATTCAAAGAGCATTTCAATACTAAAATAATTCAGGAATCTTGCAGAATTGAAACAACTAACCTGGATTTGGAAGAAGAGAACCTGAAAATTAGAATGGATTTGATCAAGATCAATGGTATTGGTGATTGTGTTAATAATTCTAACGTAACTCAGCCTATTAGAGAGTTTCTACTACAGAAATATGATGAGTATTCAGCACAGTTTGACAACAAGGTGAAATCAGAAATAGAAGACCCTCGAATTCACCTATGCATTTACTTCCTAGAACCAGTCAATTATTTGAAACAGAGTGATGTGGATGCAATGACTGCAATATCAGAGTATTGTACAATCATACCAGTTGTTGCTAAATCAGATTTACTTGTGCCTGAAGAAATCAATGAAATTCGTCGACTCATTTCAACAACATTCAGCAACCACGAATCATATTTCATAAGTTGTACAACAGATTGCAGTGAAATCAAGGAATATAACTGGGGAGTAGTTAAAAGAGACAATTTTGATTTCCACAAATTGAGACAGGATGTGTTAGAGAAAGAGACACTAGGCTACTATGAAGAAACAGAATTCCTCTACGATACATACAGAATAAACATTCTGGCTGGAAAAGTGGTGAATGGACAAAGTCTGCTTACTAAATTGAATGGAAAGCAACATGAATTGGATGAGATCAAGGAAAGAATAAGGCATAAAAAGAAGATTTTAGGTGAATAAATGAATTGAACTATGTAAATGCTCGGGAAAGGGTGATGAACTTAAAAACTATGGTTGGAAAGGCTATGTCGAACCTTTTAAGTATTGACTAAACGTTTTTACCCCTCTTGAGGTATGAGAGGTTACAAGAAAACTTCAGAGATCTCAAATAAAGGATTAAGGTTGTTTCTTCTGACATTTTCTTGATCATTTTTAACGAAATTGATTGAAATTACTGTTGATCCTTTACATCAATTCTTGCTATGATAAGTGTGGTAAAAGGGTCAATGACCCTGTCAATCACTTAATTTAGATAAAAATTACGAAAATGGATTACCAAGATAAACGACTACCAAAAAGGAGGTGAGTGAGTACGACAGCAGTATAAGAATAAACAATGGACAGCGTCAGACCCGTTTTATCTCAATAAGTATTAAGTAAGTAATAAATAGAAATAGAATGGTTTCACAAGAAATCATCATTGAATAAATGTCTACAACAAGGAGTGTGCAGTGATCACAAGACTGATGGATTGCATAAACAAACTATCAGTCGTATCCTTGCTCTTAACGAAGTTATAACCATATTTATTTATCAGATCTACATTTACTTTTTAGCTTGGTTTTGTGCTTCAATTCTCATTTGAACACTCTTTTCAGATGTAACAGAGTTCGTAACTCTCAGACACGTGTTTTTAGGTGTCTTAATTTGCAATTTTCCTACAAGCTGAGTAGGAACAAATGACTCAACTGTGAGCTCTGCATAATGCTCCATCTGTCTTTGATTCTTAATTGCTTTGTAATACTCTAACCTATCTGTAGGGTCCATCTCATCAGGAAATTTCTTCATCTGTTCAAATTGTACAGCCTGCCTCAAGATTTCCAAGTAGTTCGCATTCATAGTTTGCACTTTGTTGTTTTCAATTGCTTCTAGTTGCAAACACAAGTTCTTGTATTCTTTGTCAATCTGAAACCTGACTTTTTTGATGTTCTCCCTAAAAGCCAGACTGTTCTCATGAAGCTTTTCAATTTCCTTGTAGATACGTTCACTGTATCCAACCAATGGTTCTGAAGAGCTTTTGATGTCTTTGCTTAGTGATTCACATGCTTCCACAAATGAAATGATTTTATGCCCAGCCCGTTCTGGTTGTGAATGAGATCCTGTTACTTTGCAGTAAGAACAAATCGGCTCTGCACAATCTATGCAATAGTATTCAATGGTCTTTGTGGCATGATCGAAGCAGTTTATGAATTTGCTCTGGCCACAGGTCTTGAAATACTTTCTTTCATGCCTCTTTAAAAACGCATCAGCGTGCACAACTTGATCACATTCATCACAGAAAGATGCTCTTTCTGATGGACAATACACAATTGCCTCCTGTTTCTGACATTTATGACAAATGTTCTTGTTTCTTGCATTTTTTTCAAATTCAGCATCATACTCAAATGTGACTTCATAGAGTGGTAGAATCTTTGACTTATCGTTGATAACGTAGAAGAAGTTGCCAATATTCTGCTCTGTATCAGAGAGATATTTTTGTTCACTTTGCATGTCTGTCACCAATGAATCAAACCCTTCCGGAATTGGTAACTTTTCTTCAACGAAGTCACGTACAACAAATAGAGAGTCTCCAAATGCTACTTCACATAGATATACTGTATGAACAGTGCTATCCTTACCCACAGGCACTCCAAATGCTGGGAAGAATGTTTGGTCTTCAATTTTCTGACAAAACAGCTGAGCCTTCATGCTATTGCAGTTTGCATCGGTAAACTCCTTGACCTTATCCTTATCTAGTATTTCCTTAGTTTCAATATGCTTCAATGTCATTGAATTGAGCAGAAACTTCAGTTTATACTCGATTTTGTTATCTAGTTCCATAGGGGTTACCTGAAAACAAATAAAAACACTTTCGATTTTTATAGGCCGTTTATCTCATTTAAAATGACTGGCTCATTCAAGTCAACCACAACGCCGTCCAAAAGACATGCGTCTACAATCTGTTGCGACATAGCGAAGTTATAAAGCAGTGATGACTCAGTTACGCTACCGAAACACTTTTCAAAATGTTGCATAATGATATTCAACACATTGAGCAAGAACATTGCATCCTCATCTTCGCCCACTATACAAGCACACACATTATCGAACTTCTTGAAAGCAATCACCTTATCGCCTGAATAAACGAAGTTGCCACCCTTTTGTTCCACAATCTTCTTCTTAACAGAACTGTCCAATTTGTAGATTGAATACTCTCTAAGAAGCAGACGCTTATTTTCAGGCGTGAAGAACTCAACCAGATCGATCATTGTTTATTTAGACTCTAAAACCTTTTAGACAACATAAACAGCTTACCTAGCCTTTCCCTTAGCACCAGTTCTTCGTCCAGTAGAACGAGCTCCAATCAAACCAACCTGTTGTGCAAAAGGTGCCCTCTTTGAGACTGTAGATGGGAATCCAATGTGCTGGTGGTTTCCACCACCGTGTCCGTGATCCACTGGGTTCATTGCAACACCTCTCACCTTTGGGAACTTCTGGTTTCTTGACTTCTTCAGTTTCCTTTGGATAGATGCTTTCAATAGCGGTTTCTCCTTAATTCCTGCACCAGCTACAATTCCTACTATTGCCCTCAAATTCGATGAAAAGACTTTTTTGTCACCAGAAGGTAGCTTCAACACTGTCTGGTCATTCTCCTTTCTGTGGTTTTCCACTGAACAATATGCGCCTGCTTCCATTGCATAGTGGCCACCGTCATTCAACTCGTGTTCTACCGAATGCACTGCTGAACCTTCTGGAATGTGTTTAAGCTGCAAAACGTTTCCGTTCTTTATTGTTCCCTCAGTTCCGAGAATGTACACTCCTCCAACAGCTACTCCCTCTGTTGCACAGATGTAGTGCTTTTTACCCTCTATCATTACAATAGCAAGAGGCGCTCCCTTTCCCTTCTGGTGTTTCAGATTAATCAATTTCATCTCCCTGTCTACTCCTACTGCTGGATACCTTGGCTTTATTTTAACTCTATTCGATCTTTTCTTCTTCTTCTGTTGCCTAAACTTACGGATAACTTTTGACATAGGGTAAAAATTGCAAAAAAATTCAAAATAGGTAAAGTAAAATGATAATAACATAATTATATGATCTAATATGAATGATTCGACTACAATCATTTCAAATAAGTGTTGGAAGCCTTTCGTATTACATTTGATGTTAAAAGATCCTATAAACTCTAAAATCACAACTGCGCTTTAAAGGTAACCGAGCAATGATGATAAGACTGTATTTAATTCCAACGGATCCTGGGCATATACCGTTATTTTGATACGAGTAATGTTTGTCTAACTCACACAGTGGGTATTATTTCCTATTTTTCTGATATACCTGCCTTTCTAATATATTATTGAATCAACTTTGCGAAAACTTGTTAGAAAGTGATTCTGTTGGCTGTAGCATTTACTGGTAATTAATTGCGGCTAAAGAAAAACGTTCCTTATATAGTCCCTTTGATATGTTTGACACTTTTTCTGATATCAATTCAGTCGTCTAACTGATCAAATGTTAACCTTGCTGTCAACGATGCTAACACCAATGAAATGGTTTATAGATAGATTTACCTGTATAAAATCAGCGGAAATATGATAAAATTTTACCCTATAATGTTTAAAACAGAATCCGAATCACCTGTATTAACCAAGGAGATGTTCAGCAAGATCAACGCAACAAAGTCTGAGTTCAAGAAGAATATGATGAATGCACTTGGTCTCACCTACACCGATGCACCATTGTTTGTCGAAAGCAGAACAGGATTCAACGATGAACTGAACTATGTTGAACAAGCAGTTACTTTTACGACTTCAACAGATCAAAAATGTCAGGTTGTGCAGTCACTAGCGAAGTGGAAAAGATTCTTCCTTAGCAGAGTTGATTTCCCAGGTGTATTGGTTAATTTGCATGCCATCAGAAAAGATGAATTTCCAGAAACCGTCGAAAGTAGTCGAATGCATTCCTTTTATGTAGACCAATGGGATTGGGAGATGAAAATGACCAAAGAAAACAGAACCGTGGAATACCTGAAAACAGTAGTCATGAAAATCTATGATCAAGTCCTGTTGACACAGAAACATCTGGCTGAAAAGTTTGGTGAGAGTGTTAACAAGTTACCAAACAAGGTGTTCTTTATTGATTCACAGGAATTAGAAGATTTGTATCCAAATAAAACACCAAAAGAAAGGGAATACGCCATTTCCAAAGAAAAGGGTGCAGTTTTCATCATTGGAATCGGACACAATCTGAAATCAGGAAAGCCACATGATTCAAGGGCACCTGATTATGATGATTGGAAATTGAACGGTGACTTGATTTTCTACAACAAAGTCATTGATAATGCGTTTGAAATATCAAGCATGGGAATTCGAGTAGATAAAGAATCGTTGGTTGAACAAATAACGAAATTGGACAAGAAAGAGAAGTTGAAATGTTTGTTCCATAGAACGCTTCTGGAAGACAAATTACCATTGACTATTGGTGGTGGAATTGGGCAGTCTCGAGTAGTAATGTTCCTACTGGATAAGAAGCACATTGGTGAGGTGCAATTCAGCGTATGGCCTACAAAAACGGTAGAAAAATTCACAGGTCTCCTTTGAATAAATCGGTCGTCTTTATGCTTGTTTTTCTATTTATGCACCCCTATGAATTTCTTTACTCTTCTAATTCCAGTAGCGAAAACACTTGACGTCGAAGAGAGCACTCGTAGCCGGATAAATGCTGTAGTCGAACAAGGCATCACGAATGTGGGAGAAGCAACTGCGTATATCCTAAGAAAATTTGAGCTCATCAAACAACAGCTGCTTACTCGATTTGTATCGAATAGTAATGTTCCAATGAAAGCTGAGGAGGATTTCAAGGAAGAATTGGATCCAGAGGCATTTGCAGATGCACTAAACAAGTTGGTTGAAAAGATGGAAACTGACAAAGAGATGACAACCGCTGAAGACCTGAATGAAATAATAAAGGAGGAAATAGCTAAGAAGGATGACGAAGATGTAGAAAATGACAAAACAGAGACAACCAAGCCAAATGAAGAACTCTAATAAATTTTAGGTTGAATTATTTTGTTAAACCCTTATTCAATATGGCAAACAGTATGACAAACTTAATGCAATTTGCATTCAACACCTTTTCATTGAATGAAGTTACAAAACAAGAAGTACAAGAAGAGTATTTCGATAAAATTGCGTATTTGACATTGGAATACACACCCAAGGATGAAAGCGTAGAGAGAGCAACTCAAACATTCTACTTTGACCTGTTCTGGGAAACAACACCTGTGACGTGCCTGAATTTCGCCAAGTTGTGTGAGGGTGTGACTGAAGATGTTGGATACAAAGGTTCCAAATTCCATCGAGTTATTTCTGACTTTATGATGCAAGGCGGTGATTTTACTAAAGGAAATGGAACAGGCGGACTAAGCATTTATGGTGAGCACTTTATGGATGAGAATTTTAAACAGGGCCATTCAGAGCCAGGTCTATTGAGCATGGCTAATGCAGGCAAGAATACAAATGGATCGCAATTCTTCATAACATTTAAGCAACTGTTTTACCTGAATGAGAAGCATGTTGTATTTGGTAGGGTTGTACCTGAACAGCTTGATCTCCTATTGGATATGTTCAATGGCTACAAAACAACATATGAAGATGTGCCAATAAAGCCGATTAAAATCAAAGATTGTGGTCTAAAGAAGAAGGATGAAACGGTTTTGTAGGTAAATAATCTACGTAAAACAACCCCCTTTTTTAATTCAAGTACATATTCAACAAAGGGGCAATGTCCAAGAAAAGAATCTACAAGACAAACAATAGACACTCGTACGATGATTTTGATATTGTGTCGTGCTACGAGACAGTAATTGATGAATCTTCCTCGGAAAGCACATTTTCAAACCTGGTAAAATCAGGAACAGGAAAAGAAGTGAAAGAATTCATAGATGCACATGAAAATACAGAAACTCCAGAAGAATGTGAGAATGAAACTGCCATCGTGATAGAAAAAACGGAATGTAATGAGACTGCTGTAATAAAGAGAGATGAAAGCACAGAGGAGGTCACAATCAGAAATGCATATTCAGAAATGTGCGAGTATTCCATTGAGACTGAATCCAATCCACTTGTTCTGAGATCTCCACGATTGAGTAGTGAAGAAAAGTTGCAAGAGAGCCGCCAAGTCCCAGATGATCATACACTGTCTGGATTTGTCAAGGATGATGTTCCTATCAGAAGAAATGTCATAAAACTTGACATAAAATACGATAGTGGTGTTCTTCCAGCAACTAAGACCAAGACCCCATTTGCATTAACGCAGGCACGTTTCATTAAAAACAGTCCAGAAAAACTCAATGATGAAATCACATCAGCATTCAACGAAACAGTAAAGAAGGAAGAAGTCTACGTTAATAAGATCAAACCAAAGAACAAGTTTGTCTTAAGCAAATCTAATGGATCCAGGTCAATCAACAATGTTGAAGAATCGTATGAATTCAAATACGGAGAACTGTATGGTCTGTTAAAGAAGTCATTAGAAGGCTCCAAAAGAACTTCCAATTATGTGAAACTGAAAAGCGGTGAATTGATTTGCTACAAATCAAAGCCAAGGAGCAGTATACCTGATATTCTGATACCAGAAGTTCATTTCGTACATCCTGATAAGAGTAACACGGTCTTTGAAAGGGAGTTTTCAATTGACCTGAGCAATGCCAACATTTTCCTGAACTTGGAATTCAAGACCATCTGTTCACGACTCTGTTGTGGCGCTTCAACCGTTGAAAGAGTCTACCTGATGCTGATCAATGATATCATCTTAGATGATATAAGTAGTATTTCTGGGGGATATCAGGTTGAATTCAGGTTCCACGATCATCGAAAGAAGCTCAAGATACAGAGATTGGAATTTGTTATTGAGTTTCAAGAGAAGCTTTACTCATTCATGTGCAAAACAGAGAAAGAACTAATGAATTGGATCGTTTCAATTCTGCTACGACAAGGCAAAGAGCTCTGCATGTTCAATTAGACGGGTTCAATAAACACCTGTTCATTCAATAACAATATAAAACATCTTTTGAAACAAGCATAAAAGCAAAGAGAGATACACATCATGAAAATTGCGGTGTTTCTGTTACAGCTGGTAGTAGCCGTAGAATACGAGGCAACGGACCTGAACAAAATATCAGCAGACAACAGATCGATGCTGATTAAGGAGTCCAACGACATATTCAATAATAGTCTGTTTAATACGAATGGGTCGTTTATCGTCACATCAATGAATGCAAAGCCAAAGAAGAAACCACAAAAGAAACCCAAGAAAGATGACGAAGAATAAATTGGATCGAATATTTTACACCTTGTATGAGTAACAAAAAACAAGAAATGGTTAGACACCCATTTTTCATTAGAAATAAGGCAGATGCATTACTATTCAGAACAGATGAAGGAATTGAATACCATTTTGATTCAGGTCTACATAGTAAAATAATCGCAGCAGAAAAAACAAGCACAGTCAAGCATTACATTGAATGTGAAATAAAAGAGGATGGAACAGTGGATCTGATTGATGAACATGATGAAATACTCGCCTTTAAGCATCCAGCTGATTTCATTATGCCGCAAAATGAAATTTCTATGGAATTCTATGATGAATTGCATAGTATGCTAATGGATCCAAAGTTAGATAACTATGAGAAGTATGCTGATGATTTGAATAGTTTTCTGATGAACAACAACTTTCCAGAATACAATCCACACGAATTGATGAAAAACACTGGCGTAGGAAACCTGAATCAACTGGAACCAAGTACCAAGGATGAGTACATCAGAGCAGTTTTGATCACAATTGAAGATAAAATACCAAATGAATTTGGTGAAAACTTCAAAACACGCTTCGTTGAGCTGTTTGGTGATGAAAGATATGCAACAATCAACGAATTCATCAAAACAGAAATCACTGAGGACATTCTAACGCAAAAAGATTTGAAAGACAAGTATGAGACATTAGAAGATCCACCATTCAGATTGTATCACCTAAAGCAGGCCATATATGAGCACTTCTTTCTCTACACAACAGGTCCCTGGAAAAACTGCAGAATTCGTTTTGGATACAATCCAAAATTAGACTGGTCAAACTACAAGTATCAAAAAGTGGAAAGCAGAAGCCAGAACATGAATTTTGTAGTCAAAGATAATCCAATACTTGTCAAAGAGATTGAAAGGAATCGCAAGTGGTATATTTCAGACAAATTTGATCTTAAAATGGGGTTTCTAACTAAGTCATTCATGCAGTTTGCAAATTACACACAATCAAATCAGGTTGATGAAATGATGTACGAAGAAGAATACGACATATTTGATTAAACCATTTGTTTAATACTTCTGAGAGTAGAACTCAACATTTCTGTCGATTTGGAATGGTGTGCTGATGTATCCCTTAAGGAATTCCACCTTAGCGACTTCCTTCACCAGGTGCTGTTCGATTTTTGTATCAATTTTTGATACACCCAAAGCATCTGCATCTCTCTTTGTCTCAATCAAACCTTTTGGTACCTGCAATCCACTTGCGTTGATCTGTATGCTCAACTTGAACAGATACAGCTCATCGATCAGAAATGCACCAACGCCATTTATTGCGCTGATTCCTGTTACAGCTGCCAAATTGTTCTCAGTCTGTTCGAGGAATACGCATTTTTTACCAGCATATTCTCCTTCTGTCACAACCACAAGATCGCCCTTCTTCAAATCCTTTCTTGTAGTTCTAGTCTTCCTTCCATGCTTCTCCATGTAAATTCGCTCTGCCTCTGTGAAATCACTCAGCTTAAACTTGTTTTCCGCAATGAAGTTCGATATTGTAAAAGTTGCCTTCTTCAGCATTGGGGCAAAAATTGTGAAAATTTAGATCAGGCACCATCGTAATTTAATTGGAATCCTAATAAAGTTTTGCTCTCTTCAAGCTAGATTTCTTCGCCTTCTTTGCTCTGTTCTTCTTCTCTTTCTTTGCCTTGCTCTTCTTAGGTGCTAGCTTGGACTTTTTATTGTTTGACTCGTCATCTTCAGATCCCTCATCATCTTCGTCTTTCTTGCTCGTAGACTTCTTCTTCTTAGCATGCGCACTCAGATTCAGCAACTTGGATTTCTTCTTTTTATCGTCTTTTGTATCTGTTTTTCCTTCCTTCTTTTCCTTTTTCTTATCCTTATTAGAATCAGGCTTTGCTTTACTGACTTTTTCTGGTGTTACAACCTTATTAGACAGCCTTGCAGATTTGTGTATCTTAAGTTGGTTGCTTGGTCCAGTCTTCTTATGGGATGCACTCTTTGCTTTGCTCTTCTGTGGCTTTGCCTTTGACTTCTTCTTGCCTTCGCCATCATTTCCTTCTACTGCTTTTGCAGAGTCCTTTGGTCCTAACTTACTCTTCTTAGGTTCCTTATTCAGCTTACTATCCTTAGGTTCCTTACTCAGCTTACTGTTTTTAGGTTCCTTACTCAGCTTACTGTCTTTAGGTTCTTTGTTTAGCTTACTGTTTTTAGGTTCCTTATTCAGCTTGCTATCCTTAGGTTCTTTGTTCAGCTTACTGTCTTTAGGCTTCTTACTCAACTTACTATCCTTAGGCTTCTTGCTCAGCTTGCTATCTTTAGGTTTCTTGCTCAACTTGCTCTCCTTAGGTTTCTTGCTTAATTTTGATTTCTTTTTCTTACCATCCTCATCGGCATTCTCTCTCTTTGCATCTGACTTCTTACCATTCATTTCCCTAGCAGCCTTACTCTTTTTATCAGGCGTTGCCAGAAAACTCTTTGCAAGTTGTCCTTCTTCGAACATATCGAGTGAACCTACCTCCCCGGTGTACTTTGTCCGTGCAATCAGCAGAATGCTAGTTGATATCAGAAAGTTCATGTTATTTACTTACAGAGATGTTTTATAACATATCCTAAAACACTGTTTCACAGTTTGTTTATTCATTTTGTGATTGAACCTGATTTATTTTCTGCCTCATTTCTTTATATTTTTCATGAGTGATCTCAAACACACCATGTTCATAAATAGCCTCTTCATCACTATTAGTTGATTCCACAACGTATAGAATCCCATTGATACGCGCAAATGACACATATTTCATTCTAATAGCCATTGACAGGTTGAATGCATTGTAGACTGTCTTACCAAATGAATTAGGATCACACACCAATTCAATGAACGAGACTCGTTTTCTATTTCGTATTATGGCAGCAATATTCTTGGCTTCTTCATTGCTCTCTATTTTCTCCTCAATCTCCTTCAAATTTGATGGCTTCTTGATTTCTGAGCTGTTCTCATCGTACACCTTGCGCTCTCCTACCTTTCTATCCCTGTGTTCCACTTCCAGGTACAACACATCTACAAATTTAGCTGATTGCTCTTTCCTGTAACATAAACTAAAGAAATCCATACATTCAGCATTATTGACCATTTCTACGATATCATGAATTGTAAGTAGTGCGTCATATTCCTTAAGTAGTGCATCATATTCTAATTTGATTGTTTGTAAGAAGATGCTGATATCTTTTCGTAAATCTGATATTTGACTGGTCTTTTTGAGTAGTTTTTCCAGTCTATTCAGTATCTTTTGAATTAACCCTGGATTATTCATTATTTGTGCCTGGTTTTTCTTTATCCATCTTGATATGCTGGTGTAGTCCTCTGGTATATTCATTAGTTCATTTTCTGTGTTTTCTTTGGTGACATTCTGTTCATTGGTTGAAGTTGTGCTCTCCATTTGCAAAATGGGCAAAAAATTATCCTATGAGAATAGCAGCATTGATAAGTGGTGGCAAGGACTCTATTTATACTCTATGTCAGATGATAGATGACGGACATAATGTTGTTTGTGCCATTTATATTCTAAACAAGCAAGAATATGTTGATTCATTCATGTATCAAACCGTTGGAAATGAAATGATACAGTATATTGAACAGGCACTAGAAATCGACTTCATTTATAAAGAAACAACTTGTGAAGTTAAGAACACTGACTTGGATTATAAACCGATGGAGAATGATGAAGTAGAAGATCTATTTGAAGCAATAAGAGAAGCCAAAGAAAAATATGGAATTGATGGGGTTTGTTCAGGTGCAATTTTGTCACAATATCAACGTAACAGAGTTCAGAATATTTGTAATCGACTCAAAATAGAAAGTTTTACACCATTATGGCAGAAGAATCAGAAGGAATTGCTTAATGAAATGATTTTGTATGGAATTGAAGCAAGATTGGTTAAAATAGCATCGCCTGTGATCAATAAGACGTATTTAAACAGAACACTTGAAGACATATCGGAATACTTTGAGAAGAATCATGATAAAATGAGTGAAATCAATTATTGTGGAGAAGGTGGTGAATATGAAACAGTTGTATTCGACTGTAAACACTACAAAAAGAAGATACAAGCAAGAACCTGGATAAAACACATCCACCCAGAGGACAAGAACAAGAATGAAGATGAACAAGTTGTGTATTGCAGCTTTGATGATATCGAAATGCATAAAAAATAAAATATTTTTAAAAATACAACACTAATTTATAAATATCAACCTGAATATTCGTCTACAATTTATTTAGTTTACTAACTATGTGTCTGTTTTGTCTTAAATATTCTTTCATTGCCTTACTCTTGTTTCTTTCTTCAGCTAATATCATAACAAGGCAGAGCTTATAGAAATTTGTGTTTACAAACTGGTCTTTTTTTCCAAAT